TTCTAATACGTTTAGTGCTGGCTGGTGAATGGCTGAAGGGAGCACTACCGCCACCAGGTGGTAAGATGAGGTGGATTCTGGACCCGGTCTACAGAACTGGTCCAGAAGTGTAAATGGAAACGCAACGACACAGGAGCCGATCTGAGCTGACCCGAGCTGACCTGATCCGCACCGTAACAGTGAAAAAGGGACATAAGTGTCCCTGTGATGGACCCTGGACTGGGTGTCCTCTGCCACTCACACAGTGACTGCTGGATATGGGCACCAGTGACCCCCCCACCCCCCCGACCAGGAAAGGAAGAAGCGAGTAAAGATAATGGATGGAGTCCCAGAGATTAAAGCAGAAAAAAACATTTAGACTGAAAACATATCTGAATATTGGGATTGGGTGAAACTGTGACTCTGGTTCTCTTTGTTGAAAACAGCATCAGTTTAGTCCCTGGATCAGAGCAGATGGGTTTAAACATGTTTTTTTACCCGTCATTGTTAGATGTTGGAAATCCATCACAGCGACAGAGAACTTGAATCTCTCCAGCCCCAACAAACGGTAAGATCTTTGAGCAACATATTTAAGAACTTAAACATTATTTGATGAATATAAGACGTTTAAGGCCTTGATTTTAGATACACAAATTAAGGACGTGCACACAGCCGTGTTTTCAGTGAGCTTTGCTCCACAGATGGCAGTGATTTTGGACAGTGTTCACATGCGGCTTCTTCTTTGCATGACAGAACTTCAACCCATACTTGTCGATGGCAGTGAACTGTGACTACAGACAATGATGTTAAAGTGTTCGTGAGCCCATGCAGTGAGGTCAAGAACACAACCAGACCTGCTTCTCATGGACCGGCCCAAACATTACAACCATTCAACAATGGTTGTCTTCAGCACACAAAGATTCCTCCACATTCTTGAAATCTTTTAACAACATTATGAACAGCAGATGATCAAAGTCTTCATATTTTTTTTTATTGAGAAACTTTAATCTGAAATTGTTCCACTAGTTTCAAACGGTAGTGAACTGGTGAACTGGTGAACTGGTGAACTGGTGAACCTCTGCCCATTTTTACTTCAGAGTCAGCTTTTCTAAAATGCTATTTTTATATCCAGTCTTTTTTCTGACTTGTTGCCAATTAACCTATGGTAATTACTTCTGATGCTCCTGTGGCTCTTTCTTATTTGTATCACTTCCTTTTACAGCCCGTTGTTGTCCCTGTCCCAACTTGGGTACAATCATATACGGGCGGCTGTGGCTCAGTGGTTGGAGCAGTCGTCCTCCAATGCAAGAGTTGGGGGTTCAAATCCACCAGCAGTCACATGCCGAAGTGTCCCTGGGCAAGACACTGAACCCCTCGTTGCCTCTGATGTGTGTCCCATCGTGTATGAATGTGATAAAGCTCTGATTAGACTCTTTAGAATGATTTGTTCAATTAGTTTTGTAGATCTAGTATAGAGCTGTATGAATGGGTCAATGAGGACACAGATTGTAGTGTAGAGAGTTTTGAGTATCTCTATAAGATAGAAAGGTGCTATATAAGTACAGTCCATATAGTTTAAACATTTACAATGTTCCACTGTGAATAAAATATGGGTTTATGAAATCAAAGCATTGCATTCTGTTTTTATTTACAATTTATGCAACATCTCAACTTTTCAGAATTCAGGTAAAATTCTTGTGTTTGAAAAACTCCCATTAGAAGTTCTTAAGAACTACTTGACTTCTTACTTTAGTTTTCTTGTATTTTGCCTCTTTCAGAGCCAAACAGCCAACATTATTCTAAAATGTAGGCTGTGTGGTGGTTGAAGAACGAGGCCTGCTGGCAGCCTTCAAACCTGCAGCTCTGCCTTGAAGAGTGTGGTTTGGAGCCTGAGCGCACACAGAGAGGCTCATTGACGGGTGGAGGGGAGGCTCGGGGGTCTCAGAGGGGCTGCAGTGCCAGCTCGGTCCTTCCACAGAGCTCGGCTGGCAGACTCGCAGCCGCTGGTTCTGGCACAGAGAAACCACGAGGGGAATGCAACCAGAAATGTTGCTCTGCTGCTGTGTAGCCACCTACAGTGGAACAAAACTCTAGTCATTACAGAGATGATGACTAAAACTAGTGTACCTGTTTGTGTATAGCTACGGTATAACTATAGATACAACTTGGCTGTACAGATATTTAGCAACAAACTGCTGTGTTTGTAGCTGAGACTAATTCACAGCACACAGTGCTCACCAGAACACAGCAAAATATACAATGAGAGAGTTTTCCCTCATTTATATCACAATTATTACAATAAACTGACGGCTGCATCCACTTCACTGGGACTTTAGCTTTTCCCAGCTTCTTTAAATGTTTTAAAGCCCACTCCCCTCCTAACCTGAAAAGACCCAGGCAGACCCACACCTCCCCCTTCATGGAGAAAACTGAAGCAGATCAGGGTTTATGTTTCTGAAGCGAGCCAAACAGCAGTCAAGCCGCTACAGTTAGCCTTTTCAAGAGGAGGGGTCTGAACATTCTTCATTTAGAAAGTTCATAGACGTCAGCTCAGCAGAATCACTCTGGACTTCCTGACAGTGACCGTTTGTCTGAAAAGCATCAACACTGTTGTCTCTGAGAAAACGTGTGTCTGTGTGTGCTACAAAGACTCAGAGCCTCACGCTGACATGTAGCTGCGCTGCTAACGTGCTAACTGCAAACAGCTGTCAGACAACAGATTAGTGAGCAACAAGCAGCATGCCGATGAATGTGGTTTTCTAAATGAGTGTTTTTCTGGACTGGAACTGAACAGGGAATGCAAGTAAACCTTCATGTTTTTATTGTAAGATACTCAGGTGGGTAGGAGTTACACTGTGGAGGAGAAGCAGGAGTTCACAAGTTAAGGACTGGACAAGCAAATATCTCGTTTTAATTTTGACCTCGATTTGTGACAGTGACCTTAAAGCTGGAGTGATGAAAAGTGAACTCGACACTCCATCTACTCATGATCCATTGGGCTGGACAAGAGAAAGTTTATGGACATATGGATGTACACTGCACTAGAATACGTCCCACCATCGACAAGTATAGAAAAGTATGAACCTCCTGGATTGGGCTGAGACGGGTGCGATACGAGCAGAGGTGAGAAACTAAATACTGGTTAAGGCCAACAAAACAGTTTTTACATAAAAATAGGTTGTGAATCCAAATGAAACAAAAGTTAGACGTGAAAACACGAGCGAGTCAGGTGCTGAGAAGAGGAAAGAGACAAAGAGCCGGGAGTGAAGGTCACAGTTACTGAAAGCATCATGTTCTGGTTAATTTAATTTCCCCTCCAAACACTCAGCCAATCATTCACACATGACCAAGAGTCACAACAGGTCTCACCCCTCTCAGCTCCAACCAGGAAACAAAACAGGCAGGATCATGTGTTTGCCTCCAAGTGCAGAGAGCACGTGGAGCTTTGGTTCATCCTTGAACTGACTCAGGTACCTGCATGTGACTCAGGTACCTGCATGTGACTCAGGTACCTGCATGTGACTCAGGTACCTGCATGTGACTCAGGTACCTGCATGT